ACTGTTGTTGCTGTCATTGTTGTTGCTGGGTGCCGTCAAGTCAATTCTGACCTCATGTGACCGAGTAGAACTGTCCCATAGGGCTTTCTAGGCTGTAATCTTCATGGGAGTAGATCGTCAGTCTTTCTCCCGCTGAGCTGCTGGGTGAGTTCCAACAACCAACCTTTTGGTTAGTAGCCAAGTGCTTAACCATTGTGCCACTAATCCCCCAATAATAAGTAACCCCTGACTCCTGAGTTCTGGTGCCTTCCAGCCACTGGGAAGAAACATCTTGTCTTGGTCATCTAGTGCTGCTATAACAGAAATACCACAAGTGGATGGTTTTAACAAAGAGAAGTTTATTTCCTCATAGTCAGAGTAGGCTAAAAGTCCAAATTCAGGGCATCAGCTCCAGGGGAAGGCTTTTTCTTTCTGTCAGCCTTCTTCTCTTTGGTGTTCCCCTGGACTAGGAGCTTCTCTGCGCAGGGACCTGCGCAGGGACCGCAGTCCAAAGGACGCACTCTGCTCCCAGCACTGCTTTCTTGATGGTTTGAGGTCCCCCTATCTCACTGCTCACTTTTGTCTTTTATATCTCAAGAGATTGTCTCAGGACGCAATCCAGTCTTGTAAATTGAGTCCTGCCTCACTAACACAACTGCCGCCCATCCTCCCTCATTAACATCATAGAGGCAGGATTTACCACACGTGGAAAAAATCACACACTACCGGGAATCATGGCCCAGCCAAATTGATACACACAGTTTTGGGGGAACATAATTCAATCCATGACACATCTCTAGGAGCAACTAAAGGGCTAGTTTTGAGCTGGTACAGGGCCAACTCTATAACTCTCTGTGATTGTTGTCTTAGTAACACAAGTAATGAATGAAAATAATGTTTATTGTAAAAAATATGTATATTTAAACATTATAAAAATACATGTGTATTTCTATACATACACAATATGTAATATGTGATTATTGTAAATATATGTGTGTAAATATTTATAGAAAAACAAGTAAAAATTCTTCACACCTCATTCTCTCCATTCCCCAGAGAAAACCACTGCTAATGTGCATTTACATAATAAACAAATGCCTGTATATTCATACGTTTATAGTTTGTTTTTTCTTTACACAAAGATTATGTAAATAACCAGTAATATGATTTATTCATTTATCTTTGATTCTTTTCCTTTTTTTTTAACTGTGCCAGAATATTCCACAGTATAGATGTAACACTGTTCTGCTAATAGTGGATATTTAGGTTATTTGCTGTTTTTGTTATTACAAACAGCAGTGCAGTGAATCTCTTTGGATGTACAGCTTTGTGCACGAGGACTGGTATCTTTATAGAATTGATTCCAAGACATAGAATAATGAGATTAAGGGATAATGCACATGTAACACTTTTTAAAAATAATATTTTATTATGTTTTCAGTGAAAGTTTACACAGTATTTTAGGTTCCCATTCAACATTTTCTATACAAGTTGTTCATTCAGTGACATTGGTTACATTTTCACAGTGCGTGAGCATTCCATTATTTTCATTCTGGTTGTTCTGTTTCTGTTAATCAGGTTTCCCTGCCCCATTACATTCTCATCGTTGTTTTAAAGTAATTGTTGACCGTTTGGTTTCATACAGGTGATTTTTTTTTAACGATCACAGTACTTACAGGTGATCTTCATTACTTTTTGAGCCGATTTGTTATTTAGCTACATGGTGACCTGAGGGCTTAGTTTCGGTTCAAGGTTTGAAGAGTATCTCAGGGCAATAGTCTCAGGGAGTCCTCCAGTCTCAACCAGTCCAGTAGGTCCTTTTTTTTTTTTTTTTAATTAGGAATTTGAGGTTCTGTCACATACAACCTTTTGATGGCCACCGGCAAGTACTCCTTTTGAAAAGTTATTCCGATTTCTGCTTGCATCTCCAGTGTACGGAAGTTGTCAGGTTTCTCATGTCCTTGCTCATACCAGATGTTATCATTAAAACCTGTTTCTCCAGTCTGATGGGGGAACATCACAGCCCATTGTGATTATTTTGTGTTTCTTTCGGTAGGAATAAAGTTGAGCATCTGTCATGGATTGAATTGTGTCCCCCCAAAAATGTGTGTAGCACCTTGGCTAGGTCATGATTCCCAGTATTGTATGGTTGTGTTATCTGATGTGATTTCCTTATGTGTTGTAAACTCTACCACTATGATGAGATTATATGTGATCTCCTCATGTGTTGTAAATTCTATCGCTGTGATGACGTTATACTAATGAGGTTGACAAGATCAGTGTCTTAATGCAGTCTCTTTTGAGATATAAAAGAGAGAAGCGAGCAGAGACGCCTAGGAACCTCACACCATCAAGAAAGCCATGCTGGGAGCAGAGTGTGTCCTTTGGACCTGAGGTTCCTGCACTGAGATGCTCCCAGACCAAGGAAAGACTGAGGCATGACAAGGACCTTTCTCCAGAGCTGACAGAGAGAGAGAGAGAGAGCCTTTTCCTGGAGCTGATGCCCTGAATTTGGACTTGTAGCCTACTGGACTGTGAAGAAATAAACTTCTCTTTGTTAAAGCCATCCACTTGTGGCACTTTTGTTAGAGCAGCACTAGATGACTGAGACAGCATCTTTTCATGCATTTATTGGCCATTGGTATTTATTTTTGTGTAATTAGTTTGCTCATACCCTTTACTGATCTTTCTGTTGTATGAGCTCTTACGTACCTTGGCTATTAATCATTTGTTATGTATGTTACAGATATTTTTCTCTCAGTGCATTGCTTGTCTTTTACCTTTGCTTATGCTATCTTTTTGCCTAAAGGAAGTTTTAAATATTTATGTAGAGAAATTGGTCAATTATGCAGTTATTAGGGAATTTAAATCGATTTAGACTAGCGGTTGGGCCTATTTTAGCTATTGTTCAAATTTATGTATACATATTATTGTGATTAACAAACCTTTTAGAAGTTAAATAACTCCATGGGCACACTTATTTCCGTGTTTTCCCTTAAATCAGTGACTGTTAAAAGTACAACTAGTCTTGTGTAGGGAGTTCTAGATAATCTGCGATGCTAAGAAGGGGTTCCCCATGTGTGGAAAGATTAAAGACCACTGACCCAGAAGATCGACTTACATCTGCCTATAAATAATCAATACCAATTGCTGTGGAGTCGATTCCAACTTATGGGGACCCTGTGTGTGTGTCAGAGTAGAACTGTGCTCCATAGGGTTTTCGAAGACTGATTTTTCAGAAGTAGATCACCAGGCCTTTCTTCCAAGGCTCCTCTGGGTGGACTCAAACCTCCAAACTCAATTAGCAATTGAATTTGTTAACCATTTGCACCACCCAGGAACTCTATAAATAATTGATAATATGTATTAATCAGGAATTTTTTGGTTGAAATTAGCTGAAACCCAACTCAAACTAGTTGAAACAAGAGGAAAACTTTCCCAACTTACATAACTGGGAAATCTAAGAAATGCTCTGGCTTTGGCTACATTTACCTTTCTGTCTTTATCTCTCTGATTCACTCTCTTCATTTGTTGGTCTGACATGTCACTACTTAGCATCATTCTCTTCCACCACACACAGAGGCTATCCATGGAGGGACAGATGGATGGGACAGCCCCAAGTCTTCATTCTTACAGATCAGCATCCAGAAGAAATAGATACCCTCTTCTAGTGTCTGTATGCTATGTCTCTCAAGGAAAAGGAACCCAGTTGCCCCCATCACTATGGCCCTATTCCTCACTGACACCAGTCACACACAGGACCAATGTGATTGACAGTTTAACCAGAACCACATGGAGAGTCGGAGGGACAGTTCACCAACAGAAAGAGGGGTGCTAGATGCACACAAAAGAGCCTGCAGGACCTACACATAACACCCAGGAGACCATGGTGGGGGAAGCCTGGCCTGGAGGCAGAGGAGTGAACGGGAGACAAGACTTCGTCCACCATATACTCCTTAGGCAGCTGCCTTCACCTCTCCCAGGGTCCTTGGCTCTCTTCTCTGTAAAGTGGTCTTGCGAGGATTAGTGAGGATGCCTGTGTTTGGGCTTGGGGGGGGGGGCACAAAGTGCAAAGCAGATGCTATTAAATAAGTCAGACTTGACTTCTAGCATTTAGTAAGTGCCCAATACAAGGTGGTTGTCCTCATTATTAATGGAATTCAAGGGGGTCAGGAGGGAGACAATCAGGTCGTAAGTAGTTAGTGTGTAAGTTCTTTCTTTAACCGCCTTGAGCAAGGCCCCTTTCTCTGGGATCCTTCACCAGTGTTGCCTAGATAGTTATTGATGAGGAGAGGGTGATGATATTAACAAAGAGGCAGGACTCAGTGGGGCTCAAGAAACAGCTTATGAATAAAACCAAACCCATTGCTATCACGCCTGTTCCGACTTGTGGTGGCCCCATGTGTTACCAAGTAGAACTGGGCTCCATAGGGTTTTCTTGGCTATAATCTTTACGGAAGGAGATCACTAGACCTGTCTTCCATAGCACCGCTGGGTGGGTTCAAACCACCAACTTTTAGGTTAGTAGTGAATCACAAACTGTCTGTGCCACTCGAGGACCCTACTGCACTAAAATTTCATTGCTGTCAAGTCGATTCTGACTGATAGCGACCCTACAGGACAGAGTAGGACTGCCCCATAGGGTTTCCAAGGAGCAGCTGGTGGATTTTAGCTGCTGATCTTTTGGCTAGCAGCCAAGCTCTTAACCATTGCACCACCAGGGCTCCTACTACGCTGAGGCCCATCCTAATTCCTAGGGAGGGAATAGTTACTTGGTATGAAATGCCGTCCTGTTTTGGGCCCCTCGAGGGATTTTGTGGAGTCCTGGTAATGCAGTGGTTAAGAGCTCGGCTGCTAACCAAAAGGTTGGCAGTTTGAATCTACCAGCCACTCCTTAGAAACTCTGTGGGGCAGTTCTACTGTGTGCTGTAGGGTCACTGTGAGACGGAATCAACTTGATGGCAGCTGGTATGGTATGGTAGGGACTTTGTGTGTCATGATCTGCTTTGCTTCCCTCACAGTCCACCTGATCCCAGTGTCGGCAGCTAAGAATGGAGCAGGTGGCAAGAGTCGAAAGAGAGTCATGCCCAACCCGGTGACAGAGCCCCCCGTGATGGACCCCATTTATGAAGCTCTTTTGTACTGCAACATTCCAAGTGTGGCCGAGCGCAGCATGGAAGGTAGGCCTGGCCGTGCCGCCTGACTCTGTATTTTGCAGCCCAAGGCTTGGTACTGGGACAGACACCCCTCTGTGGGCTAGTTCTTTTCAAGCAAGATAGCACAGTGATGAGGAGCTAGACAGCCTGGGTTCCAGTCCTACAGTTGTCACTAGGCTGTGCCCTTGAATAAGTGCCTGGGTCTCAGCTTCTTCATCTGTAAAGTAGGGGTAACAAGTAGTACCTGGAGCCCTGGTGGCACAGTGGTTAAGAGCTTGGCTGCTAACCAAAAGGTTGGCAGTTCAAATCCACCAGCTGCTCCTTGGAAATTCTGCAGGGCGGTTCTACTCTGCCCTATAGGGTCACTATGAGTCGGAATCGACTCAACGGCAAGGTTTTTTTTTTGTTTTTTTTTTTTTTAAGTAGTACCTGCCCACAGGGCTGCTGGGAGATTAAGTAAATGCTTAGAACAGCACATGACTCACGATAACCAATTGTTGTTGAGTCAATTTGGACTCACAGTGACCTCATGTGTGCAGAGTAGAACTGTGTTCCATAGGGTTTGCAACGCTGTGACCTTTCAGAAGCAGATTGCCAGGCCTGTCTTCTGAGGCACCTCTGGACGGGTTTGAACCACCAAACTTTTGATTAGCAGCTGAGCACTTAACTATTGGCCTCACCCAGGGACTCCAGTTCATTATAAGTTCGGTGCAAATGTTCACCATGATCATGATTTTCATCGAGATGTCAGCGAGATGGTAAGGTGGCCTTGGTGGCATTGGTGGCTTTAGGGCGTCCCTCTTGGCTATCTCCTTTCCAGGTTGGCTCGGGGCTTAGAACATCTACAGGATGCGCTGCCGGTGTCTTACAGTAAGGGTGTGGGGAAATACAATTTCTGTGTAGAGCTTTGTTTTTTCAGAAGTGTATCTAAGGCTATGTTGAATATCTGTGTTGAATATTTATTTGCGCCCTGCCTTGTTTCATAAAAGATTTAAAGCAGAAGTCATTGTTTCCAGTATTTCTGTGGGCCTCCCCCTGGTCTGTGGATGTGAGTGAGGCCACATTAATAGGCATGCCCCCATTTCACTGGCCTCCAGCCCCTAGCCCCAGCCAGGCTCCCCCCACTTACTGCTGGGGGGTCTCAAGCTCCTTTCTCCTGCCCAGCCTTCACCCAGCCCAGGGGCTCCTCCCATGGCCAAGGCCCCATAGCCCCTCCACAGTGGCTCCGTGTGCCATTGGAGGCCCCCACTGCCTCCTCTGAATCCCAGAGTGGACATGGCCTGGGTAGCTCTATGTTCTGTGCAGCCAAAAGGGTTGGCACTTCCTGAGTGATGACTGAACCATGTGCTTTCCTCTCACAGGTCACGCCCCGCATCACTTTAAGTTGGTCTCAGTGCACGTGTTCATCCGCCATGGGGACAGGTACCCACTGTATGCCATTCCCAAAACGAAGCGACCAGGAATTGACTGCACTCTGGTGGCTAACAGGTAAATTGCACTTTTTCTACAAGTCATTTTCAATAGCCTCTTACCTCCTGTGCTCATTAGAATGATGACAGCATAATGGCAGGGCTGGAGGAGTGACCTGCATTTGTTGAGCACTTACTGTTTGCCAGATGCCTGATCTTCAGGACTGTCCTTCATGTTAATGCCATTTTACAGTTGAGAAGACTGAGGCCCAGATGAGTCAAGTCACCTGTTTTAAGGCCACACAGCAAAGAAGCTAGGGTTTGAGCCCAGTTCAGTCTGAGGCCCACTCACCCACCTGCTGTCCTTCAGTTTGAGAAACAGCTGGGACATGGAGCAGTGAGCACTGGATTAGGAGTCCTTCAGATCCTGGCTCAGTTCTTCCATTCAGGGCAGTAGGCAAGGCTCTCATCTCTCAAATGGGGATGGCAATGCTTACCATACAGGGGTGGGCAAGGAGTGAGTGAGAGGATATAGGGGAGTATGCACTATCAATTGCAAAGCTATATTAATGTAAGGTATTACTCCAGCCTTTTAATTTTTCACAGGAGTGGAGACAGCTGGCTCTTGGTTGAGAGCTGTTAGGATGAAAAATAATTGAACAGAGAGTGGAAATAGTGTGTATGGAAATTGCATGGCCCTAATATTAGAGGCATAGTTGGCAATAAAATGATAGGCTAGGTCTCAGCAACTGTGTCTGGGGGCACATAACATCCTAGCAGAGCTTCCTAAATGAGGTCAGTAGACAGAGAAGCCCTCAGTAGGAAAGATGTTATCTTGATGGAATGCTTTGGGTGTGCCAGCCTCCTCTCCCTGCGGCCTGACAAGCCTGATGAAGCTATGGATGACCTTGAGGCAGCCAGGGGGAATTTCAGATTAACTCTTTGCAGTTCGAGCCCTCCCCAGTGTTGTGGGGAAGATTAAGTGAACCACGTTATATAAAAATATCGTGAAATACCACCTGCCTGTAGGCCTTTATGGAAACCCTGATGGCGTAGTGGTTAAGAGTTCGGCTGCTTCTGAGACCAGAAGAACTAGATGGTGCCCGGCTACCACCAATGACCATCCTGACAGGGAACACAACAGAGAGTCCCTGATGGAGCAAGAGAAAGATGGGGTGCAGACCTCAAATTCCAGTAAGAAGACCAGACTTAATGGTCTGACTGAGACTGGGGAAACCCTGGAAAGCATGGCCCCCGGATTCTGTACCAGCCCAGAACTAAAACAATTTCTGAGGTCAACTCTTCAGACAGGGATTGGATAGGACTGTGGGACATGAAGTGACAAGGGAGTCCAGCCCATGTCAGAGGGGCCATGCAGGCACTTGGCTTTCTGTCTTTGGGCCAGCCTCTACCCTCTAGCCTTTTGTTCCAGTCTTTCTGCTGGTACCCTCTGCCCCCGTCACACCCTGCTTCTGGCCAGTCCTTCACCCCTTCATGCCTTGCATCTGCTGTTTGCATTGCTTGTCCCCACTGTCCCTACTTGGCCCACAACTCCCTCTCCTTCAAGGCTCCCCTGAGTGTTTTCTCCTCTTGAACTCCCCCCAGTACATTAGGGTGGGTTCTCTGCTTGTGAGCGGCAGGCATTGACACTGCCTAACACACCCTGAAAAGAGGGATGTACAGGACGGGTCTTAGAACAAACAGGGTAAGATTCAAAATATTTAATCACCAGACCTTAACTGGCCTTGGAGTCCCCGGGTGGTGCAAATAGTGAACGTGCTTGGCTGCTAACCGAGAGGTTAGAGGCTCAAATCCACCCAGAGGTGCTTCAGGAGAAAGGGCTGGTGATCTACTTCCAAAAAACCATTCATTGAAACCTCTATAGAGCACAATTCTACCTTGGCACACATAGGGTCACCATGGGTCGAGGGTGACTCAGCGGTACCTGGTTGGTTAACTAGCCTTAGGGCCGGGGCAAGGGTGGAAGCCACGTGCTGTGCTGGGCATTAGCTCTTTAGTTTCTGGATTGTGGAGACAGGATGGAGCATCTAGGGTGGCTGGAGGGCACAGGCGGGGCCCTGGGAGGGCAGCTGGGGGAAGCGGCTTATCAGGTACAGCAATGTTCCAACATCTTAACAAGTAGGGCAGCCTTGCCATTGCACATGGCTGGACATCAGCCCTTTGAAGAGCACAGGCAGGGATGGACCACTAGGCCTCTGAGCTGGCCAGACACAGGACTGCCCCAAAGACTCTGTGGCCAACAAAATGCTACACCCCAACAACCCCCAGTTTCTGCTCCCCTTTCTCTAGGTGGGTTTCAAATTCCCAGAAGTGAGAACATGACTGGCTCGGCTCAGACCACAGGTTTTTTCCCAGACCAGTCAGCTGTGGCTGTAAGGTCTCTGGGTACCTCGAGGCCTCTGGAGCCCACCCTAGACATCTGGCTGTTCCCAGAGCAGGGCCCATTGGACAGGGCCCACCTGGGAGAGCGCAGTAGCTCACCCTCCCCAGCATGACCATCTCTGCTCTCCCCAGATCATGGGCTCCTCAAGGGCACTGGGTCTTACCCACCCTGTGCCCTGCCCAGCCCCTGGCATATACTAATTGTTGGATTGGATTGATTGCAAAATGAATTCAGGACCTCAGTGAGAATCATAGGTCAGAATTCCCTATCATGTGCCTCGTTATAGATTTAAGCCTCAGCCATGGAATCCCGAGGCCTTTCAAGAGTCAGTCTTTGTCACCTGTTTGACGTTGAGCCGGTCAGTTCATCTCTCTGAGCCTCAGTACGCTGTTCTGGAATAGGGGAATAATAGTACCTCCCTTATAACATCCTTGTGATGTCTAAACAAGACCATAGAGGAAAGCATTTAGCCTGGTCCATATCGAAAGCTTGATAAATGGCAATGTGTCATTTACAGCAGCAGCCTGGAGGCTGCTGGGAACTGGCCTTGTTCCTTCTCTGCAGTGGACGTGGTCACAAGGCCAGGCAGGTCCCAGAGCCTTTTTCTCTGTCACAGCGATGGCAGGACCCTCTGATGCAGCTCCTGTTTGAGAGGCTTGGCTCCTGGGGGCCAGTTGCCCTGGCTTCCTCTGCCCTTCTTTTCCCTTCCCTCCATCTTTGGCCTAGTTTTATTGAATGTTGTGTATTTTTATGAGCTACCTTAAATCCTTTGGAAAGAAGGTGGCGTATGCATGTCTAATTAATTAATGTCATTTAATTAATTCCATCCCTAAAAAATAAATAAAAGTTGACTTGTCATTATAAACACGTACATAGAGTAGGCAGGAATCCTAACGAAGCGGATCTACCTTGGGCCGCTGACTCCCTGGGGACTGTGGGATCTGGGTCATTGGCAAGGCCTGCTGCCTTTCCAGATGCTATTTCAGCTTCGTGAATTATTAATTTCATGAACTTCTACTTAGAGTACACCAAAAAAAAAAAAAAAAGTGGTGTGTCCTGGAGGGTGCCCATTACTATAGTACAGCAGAAGGGAGTCTCTGCGCCAGCAGGCACGGTGTGGTGAGCGGAATCAGGCAGGAGCTGCTTGTCCACACGAGTCAGTGGCCCGGATGTTTCCATCCACGATGAAATGCTGCATGGCTTTCAGGTTTTTGTAGTGGAAGCTGCCTCTTCTTGAACGCCGTGTGCCTCATGAGAGAGGTGTCGTTCTAACCTTTAGAGTTCTCTGTTTAGCCAGCAATGAGGTTATAAGCGATTGATATGCTCTGCTTAGTAAATGCTTTTTTAATATGCATTGAATAACCTTTTCTGGATCGAAGGAAGAAGAAAACACTTTTATCAGCATTTATTCAACACATTTTATTTTTCAGCTCCTATGATGTGCCCTGCATAGCACAAATAGTTAACATGCTTGGCTGCTAACCAAAAGATTGGCAGTTCTAGACTACCCAGAGGCACCTCGGAAGAAAGTCCTGGGGACCCACTTGCGGGAAAAAAACAACTGTTGAAAACCCCCTGGAGCACAATTCTCTTGCTTCAAGATGCAAGGAGCAATTACTCACATCGAGTAAAGCAAAAAGATTCAGAAAGCTAAAGACAGCAAAGTGCATTGGGCCTGGGCTTGTCTTTTTTGGGTTTTATTTTATTAATAATATAAAATAATAAATTCTTTAGTCGGCATACTTTGGTAAAAATCTGTGGTTTTAGTTTATTCCACTTTCCAGCCATGTAAGCTTTTTTGAATTGTGTTTTCTGCTATCAGCATTATTGGTCTCATACCTCCTCTCTCTTTGTCTTAACCGCCTGCATCATTGCTCAGATTAAATAACCAAAGCACAATCCATTTTCTCATGGGTATGTGGATTAGCCTTAGGGTCCTGTCTTCTAATTTTGTGGCACAAATAGGTATGAACAATGTATATAAAAATACAAACAAGAAATGAGAGTGAATGATTTGAAGGCTTGAGATTAACTTTAGTTCTTTCAGTTTCAACATCAAAGCAGATTTCCAATGAGGCTGCAATAATACGTGTTTTGTCTGCAGGAGAAATCACCCTTACAGATATAATAATTTTTATATTAGTTAGGGTAAGTTTAAAAAAAACAAACAAACCAAACCTGTTGACCGTCAAGTCGATCCTGACTCATAGTGACCCTACAGGACAGAGTAGAACTACCCCCATGGGGTTTCCAAAGCTGTAAATCTTTGCGGAAGCAGACTGCCACATCTTTCTCCCATGGAGTGGCTGGTGGGTTTGAACTGCCAGCCTTTCGATTATCAGCCGAGCGCTTAACCACTGTACCGCCAGGGCCCCATATATGTATCTGACTTGGAAGAAGTATAGCCAGAATGCCCCTTAGAAGCAAGGATGGTGAGACTTCATCTTACATACTTTGGACATATTATCAGGAGGGACAGTCCCTGGAGAAAGACATTATGCTTGGTAAAGTAGAGGGTCATTGAAAAAGAGGAAGACCCTCTATGAGATGGACTGTCACAGTGGCTGCAAAAGCGGGTTCAAGCATAACAATGATTGTGAGGATGGCGCAGGAGCAGGCAGCATTTTGTTCTGTTGTACATGGGGTCGCTGGGAGTCAGAACCGACCCGACAGCACCTAACAACAGCAACAGCTGTGTGCTGGGTACACTCTAAAGCTCCAGGGGGCAGACCAGTCAGATCCAGGAGAGACCCAGGGGCTCACATTACCTGGTCTTCTATCTGTTATAAAGGTACAACCATTCGTTATCTGTTCTATAAGGTTTTTTTTCGCCCACGAATCTTCGTCTTTCTATACCAAAAAGAAAAAAAATGTAATGAATACAGTTAGATAGCAAAGCATCATTGAGCAGTCACATGCCCTGAGTACTTAGGACATCTCACCAGGCGTGTTCAGTAGTGAAATTCCACTTCTAAAATTGGCAGCAAAGCTTTCTCAGATCGTTAGACATCACCAGCCTGAAATAGTGGCCTGCAGCAGAACACTTGAGTCCTGGTGACGGCCTGTTGTCGATGTTGATTTGTATTGGTAGCCTCATTGTCAGCCTGGAAATTTTATTTCCCAGTTTGCAAACATTTATGTGTTTTAGCTCCAGGCACAATAATGTACCCTCTGTTTTTATGGAAAGAAATAATTCCCTGCCGCAATCTAGGGTGATTTATTAGACTGTACTTCATGCTGGGATTAGCATTCTCTCATTTTAAAATATGTGTTTTAAAAGATGGACTTTTTTTTTAACTTTATGATTTTTAAAGATAATGAAGTCACTTTGGCAGCTATTTTACAAGCGTTTCCACAGTTAATTGGGCTTTTAGACAGCAGGGGTCTACATTAGAACAGTTTGTCTTTGCTCCTTTTCATGCTGATTCTTGTGTAGTTTAGTTGCAGACTACTCTATCTGTCCACTTCTGTTCAGGTGGAAGATGTGTACGCATTCATCAGTCATTTCATGATGGAGAGAAAATGTGTGTATATCCATAGGTTATTTCATTATTCAGAGAAATTGCATATTAGTGATTAGAAAGATAAATTGTCTTGACGTACCACATGTACTTCGTAGCGGAGATAAAAAGAATGTTTTCATCTAGAGTACACAAACAGACTAATTTTTAGATAGATATTCGTTACCACCCCACATTAAATGAGATATTCTATGTGCAGGGTGCATTCAAAAAAAGTTGCCGTTGCGTTGACTCCAATTCACGGTGACCTCATGTGTGTCCGAGTAGAACTGTGCTCCACTGGGCTTTCAATGGCTGATTTTTCATAAGTAGATCGCCAGGACTTTCTTCCGAGGTACCTCTGGGTGGACTCGAACCTCCAACCTTTTAGTTAACAGCTGAGCATGTTAGGTGTTTGTACCACCCAGGGACTCCACATAATTCATAGTGAACTGTAAAGAGCTGTAAAGATCTTGGTTATCTTGTTAACAATTTTCTTAAAGTGAGGTTTTCCAGAGGCCAGGTAAATTAAGGATTAAGAGTTAGCTGGGTGATGTTGGGGTAGGATTCTCCAGGAGGAAGGGTCAGCATGTGGAAAGGCTTGGAGGCGTGTGTTAGAAGAAAGGAACAGGTTGGCTCTGTGTGGCCAGATCACAGTATTGGAGTGGGGAGGGATGAGCCCTCAAAGTGAGATGGGGCCAGACTGTATTGACAGGGCCTTGCCTGGCTCCTTCTGGCCTGATGGTGGCAATGTGGAGCCACTGGAAGGGCAGTGATGGGTCAGAGTTGCCATCTGGCTGTGGAGAATAAAAGATTAAAAGCAGGAGGTCTATTAGGAGCCCATGGGCATCCAGATGAAATTTCCTGAGGCCACAGGTATAGATGTAGGGATGGAGAGAGGGACGAGGAAATGCCAGGAGGAAAGGTTGGCAGGGTTGGGAGGTACGTGGCACGTGGAGGAGGGGAGGAGAGGGAGAAATCCAGGACAACTCCCAGCCTAGGGCATGACTGACTGGGTGGCTTTCTTAGTCATCTAGTGCTGCTCTAACAGAGATACCACAAGTGGATGGCTTTAACAAAGACAAATAAATTCTCTCACAGTCTAGAAGGCTAGAAGTCCAAATTCAGGGTGTCAGCTCCAGGGGAAGGCTTTCTCTTCTCTGTTGGCTCTGGGGGAAGGTCCTTGTCATCAGTTTTCCCCTAGACTAAGAGCTTCTCTGCACAGGAACCCCAGGTCCAAAGGACACGCTCTGCTCCTGGCACTGCTTTCTTGGTGGTATGAGGTCCCCAACTCTTTGCTTGCTTCCCTTTCCTTTGATCTCTTGTAAGATAAAAGGTGGTGCAGGCCACATCCCAGGGAAACTCCCTTTACATTGGATCAGGGATGTGACCTTAGTAAGGGTGTTACAATCCTACCCTAATCCTCTTTAACATAAAATCATAATCACAAAATGGAGGACAACCACACAATACTGGGAATCATGTCCCAGCCAAATTAATACACACATTTTTTGGGGGACGTAATTCAATCCATGACAGTGGGTGTTGGTGATGGTGCTGGAGAGGGAGCACAGGAGGCGGCAGAGGGTGGGACAGGATGGTAGGGGGCAGAGCCGAGTCCCACAGTGCCAGGAGCAATGTCAGTGCCGCAGAGAGTAGGGACTCAAGCTGCCTTACAGAGCTGGGCTTTCATGTGTAGGTGTCAGGGGTCAAGTAACAATGAAACTGGAATTTAAAAGTGATCGGGCTAGTATACCTGTTACTAAAAAAACCAAAACCCATTGCCATCGAGTCGATTCTGACTCACAGCGACCCTACAGGACAGAGTTGGACTGCCCTATAGGGTTTCCAAGGAGTGGCTGGTGGATTTGAGCTGTTAATCACTGTGCCACAAGGGCTCCTGTACCTGTTACTGTGGGTGAGAAATGCCAGGGCACACGTGGGGGCATTGCTTGCTGAGGTTGGGAACTGTTATGGCTGTTAAAGGTTATGGTCTTACCTCCTAAGCAAAGGTGGACTTTTTGGGAGCACTCTGACCACTAATTCTCTGTGTTGTCTCTTTAGGAAACCATATCATCCTAAACTGGAAGGTTTCGTTAGTCACATGTCAGAAGGATCCGGAACCTCTTTTGAAAGCCCCTTATACTCCCTGCCTCTTTACCCCAATCACCCGCTGTGTGAAATGGGAGAGCTCACGCAGACAGGTATGTGTGCCCGCTTATTCTCCCACCCGCACTTCCATTTGGCATATATTTAGAGTGAATATTCCCGTGTAAGGCTGTCGGGCGCTGTAGGGCTCAAAGGGGTGAATAAAGACTGACTCTCACCTTGAGGAGCTCAGAGTCCACCAGATTAAACATCTGATTTCTAAACATTAAAATAACTTTTTAAATTACAAAAGTAATACATGTTCGTGGAAGAGAAATTTGTTGTTGTTATGTGCCGTTGAGTCAATTCTGACTCATAGCAACCCTATAGGACAGGGTAGAACTGCCCTGTAGTGTTTTCTAGGCTGAAATCTTTATAGGAGCAGACTGCCAGGTGTTTTCTCCCACAGAGCAGCTGGTGGGTTTGAACCACCGACCTTACGGTTAGCAGCCGAGCACTTAACCACTATACTCCCGGGGCTCTTTGGAAGAGAAATTAGGAAAAACAATTAAGCAAAAGGAATAAAAACTTAAAGCAACTTTCTTCCTACCAGTTAAAGAAACAGACCCTTAGTAATCTTTTTTCTGTACATAAACACACACACACACACACACACACACACACACACACACACACACACACACACACACACACAGGTATCTTACTAAACGTACTTTATAATCCATTTTTTCACTTAACAATATATTGTGATAATTTTCTCTATTAGTTATCTAGTGCTGCTATAATAGAAATACCACAGTAAGTGGCTTTAATAAACAGAAATTTATTTTCTCACAGTTTAGGAGGCTGGAAGTCTACATTCAGGGTACCAGCTCATGGGGAGGCTTTCTCTCTCTGTTGGCTCTAGGGGGAAGGTCCTTGTCTCTTTTCAGCTTCTGTTCCTCGGTGATCTTCATCTGTTTTCCCCACCTGTGCTTCCTTGCTTCTGTGCCGAATCTGCTCCTTTTATAGCTCAAAAGTGATTGGCTTAAGATATACCCTAAAATGATATGGCCCCACTAACATAACAAAGGAAAACTGTATTCCCAAAAGGGATTATATCCATAGCTATAAATGTTTTTTGGAGAACATAATTCAATCCATATCACCTATCAATAAATATTCATCTACAACATTATTTCTGGTGGCTGCATATCATTCCACTATGGATGGGCCATACTTTAATCAATCCTGCGTTCTTAGACATTTCAAACGAAACACCTTATAGGTTTTGCTGTACAGGATCTCAGGGAGAAAACTGTATGGCCAATACCGCTGAACATGGAGTTTGTTTTGCTGAATTTATTCCTTCCAGAAGCCTGTCTTTCCCGTTGCAGCCCTTCTCAGACCACTGTGCAGTCAGTGCCCCATCCGGTAGGTTGGGGAGTTAACTGTGGGGTCCCCTTTGCTGGGAATGGAAGGAACCGGTGGTTCCCCAAGAGCTTCCTAGTTCTTCAGTCTGGGAGCTCAGAGCGTGACTACACTACAAAATATAATGAAGGGATCAAACGCTTGCACCTGAATGTGGACAGGTGCCTGTGACAGCTACAAGTGCAGACCCAGTGAGGGGTGTGGTGTCAGGACATGATTTTTCTGGTACGTTCTGAACAAAACAAAGGACAGACTTCCCTTAATTTACATTGCATTTTTGGACAATTCCGTGACAGTTAACATTATGCAAAAATTGTTTTGTGTTTACATGTAAAACAGATTCTAGTCTCATATATTCAAACAGGTTTTTCATCTCTGGGAATGTCTTATGGAATGTTCCTAAGTCACTTGGGCCAAGAACCTCTGTTCCTTGTGTAGACTATTTAGCTGTCCCCTACCTTCTAGGTGCCGGTAACGCTCCTCCCCCCACTATTGTGACAGCCCTCCCAACCCCAGAGGGTAGTACCACGCTTGCTGAGGACCACTAGTTACTCTCTGGTTGTAAATTACAGAAACCAACTCAGGAGATGTAAGGATTCAGGGCTGACTCCCAGATTCCAAGGGTAAGAACGTGTCCAGGTCTCCAAAGACTGGCAGGAATAAAAAAGCCACCTTGTCCTGGGTTTGCCTCGCGTCTGTCTACAGTCCTAGCCGCACTCAGAGATGAACATGCAAGTCCAGGTTCCTGGGACAGTGAATCAGATGGGCTTCTCTAGGGTCAGTGCCCATCAACACTGTTGAGGGGGACGGGTGACTGGGCAGAGAGCAGAATGGGCACCCCTGTTCCCTGAGAAGAGGTAGGGGGTAGTGAGGGGCTCTCACACACTTAGAGACAATCATTCATTTGGACCTTCTCAATTCATCTATTATCATCACATCATTTTCTCAATTACTGTTACTCTAGATTACAGTACTGTTTGCTGCTGTTCCTTCATTCCCTTTTAATGGTCACTTTTATCTTCTGGAGCCCTGGTGGTGCAGTGGTTAAGAGCTCAGCTGCTAACCAAAAGGTCAGCAGTTGGAATCCACCAGCCACTCCTTGCAAACCCTATGGGCACTTCTGCTCTGTCCTACAGGGTCGCTATGAGTCGGAATCGACTCATCGGCAACCGGTTTTTTTTTTTTTTTCTTTTAATCTTCTATTTTAATGTGATTAAAAGTGCATAGCTATTATAATAATCATTTATGACTGGAACACTTGTGACACCCATACAATAAGATTGATAATCAGTGCCTACTCTGTGCAAGATGCTTTGGGTAGCTCCTGAGTTGAAGGTTGTGTCCAGACAATCAGACCCTCTCCTGCCTGCCCCAAAGAAGCGTGCTGCTGTAACGGGACAGCACACACGTGGACAGCTAACTGCAGTGCTGGCAGCTTCGGGGTCTTACAGAGTGAACATGGGATTTGGACTCAGACGGACTAGAATCAGACTAATCCCATCTTCCTGACAGGCTGGGATGAGTTTAATTCGATGCACTGCTCTCAAGGAACGCAGCTAATGTTGTCATCCAGGTCCAGCAGCATATGGGATCAGGAAGGAGTTAATTTGACCCGGGGGAGGAAGAGAAGGGCTTTGCAAAGTAGGTAGCATTGGAGGTAGAGATTGGATGAGGATTTCTTTAGGCAGAGAAAGGGGAACAGCATGGACAAAGTCATGAAAATGTAAGCTGTGTTTGGAGCGTATGAGAAGCCCTAGATGGCTAGAACTTGGTGCTTATGTGTCAGAATGTACGAGAAGGCGGCCGTGTGAGCTGGGGCTGAGAGCACAGAGGCTTGAGTCTGGCTCTGCCACTTGGTAACTCTGAATGGCGCAGGGCTTCAGCTTCCTCATCTGTAAGGAAATGGGGATAATAAGGATATACCTTATTCACTGGGTTTTTGTAAGGATTAAATGAAAAAGGCCTGGCACAGAGTAAGCACTTCAACTTCCATATACGTAGCCTGAGTCATTCACTAGAGGTGAACTGGGGCCAGACGTAGATTCTTAGTGTCTGCCATTCATGATTTGCCTCTTTTTGCAAATCATTTTAGAAATGCTAAGACCTGTCCCAGCCCCGTTCCCTGAGGGGTTCTACTCTCACTACCCTTCATTCAGAGTTATTTCCCTTCCTGAGCCAGTACATGTGCCTTTTGTCTCACCATGTCAGCCTTAAGGTGTCTCATCTTTGCGTTGGAACTTTTCAAGCCTTTTGGACGTCTGAATAAGTATTACTGGTCATAGGGTTTACACCTTCACTGAATGCATATATGTACAAGACTGTGTCCCCTTACATCTGCTGGCTGGAGGGCAAACTTTTTATCTTGAGTTGACTTCTCTTGCCTGAAGACTTTTTTTTTTTAAAGATAACAGGTTGTACTGTGGTAGTTCAAAACTAAAGCAATATTAAAAGGTAAACTTAAAATTCTTGCTCCCACCTATGGTTCATCCATCCCATTGATAGTAGTTTCCTGTGCATCCTTCCAAAGCTTCTTTATGCAAAATGCAAATGTCTTAGTTCTGTAGTGCTGCTATAACAGAAATACCACAACTGGGTGGCTTTAACAAATAGAAATTTATTTTCTCACTGTTTAGGAGGCTAGAAGTCCGAATTCAGAGTGCCAGCTCTAGGGGAAGTCTTCTCTCTCTGTCGGCTCTGGAGGAAGGTCCTTGTCTCTTTTGAGTTCCTGCTTTTGGGTGATCTTCATGTGACATGGCATCTCTTTTCCCCCATCTCTGCTGACTCACCTGCTTGTTTAATCTCTTATATCTCAAAAGAGACTGACTTAAAACACACCCTACACTAAACTGTCTCATTAACATAACAAAGAAAACCCATTCCCAAATGAGATTATAACCACAGGTATAGGGGTTAGGACTTACAACACATGCTTCTGGGGGACACAATTTAATCCATAACAAGCAACTGCAAATACACGTTCTTCTTTTTCCTTCTTTTTTATTTAAATGGAGCATATTAAACATACTGCCAGCACTTTGCTTTTTTCAAAGACAGTAATATATCTGGGCGATGGTTCCATATCAGTACGGAGAGAGCTTCCTTCCTTGTTGACTAGAGCCTCTGCAGGTTGAGGCTGTATGTGCCCAGGTTAGCAGAGAGCCTTCTGTTGAGCAGAGTAAGGAAGACGGGGCCAAGGAGGGAACTTTCCAGCAATGAGGGTACTAAGCAGCAGCAAGAAAGATTCCTTTCTCTCTTCACTTGAGCTCTGCTCTCCCTGCACATTGAAGAATGCTGTGTCCCTGGGCAGGAGGGAGAAGGTTCTCCCTAGGCCCATGCCAATTACAGCCTGGACATCCACCAGCTGGTGATTCCTACCCTTGGGGCCATCAGTCAAAATCCTTCCCCAGAAAAGGAGCCAGTCAAGAGGGAGGTTTGGGAGGGAGGGAAATGGTCCTTGTGTTCCCTAGAAAGACTGGTTCCAGAGGGCAGCTCCTCCCTCCCCCACTCACCTCTTCATGGGTACCCCCAAGAAGATCTCTTCACAAGTTGACATGAACTCATTCCTGCAACTTCTATACAGTGGGGAAACGGGTTCGATTATATTACCTTACATGCCTGTCAGACAGCCCAGAGTTGGACACTGACTCAACTTGGCTTTGCTGTTCCTTTTCCTGAGCTGGTGGTAAGAAAGCTCTGTGTCGCCCTGTTTCAGGAGTGGTGCAGCACTTGCGGAATGGTCAGCTACTGAGGGACATCTATCTAAAGAAACATGAACTCCTGCCGAGTAACTGGTCTACAGACCACCTTTACTTGGAGACCACTGGGAAAAGCCGGACTCTACAGAGTGGGCTGGCCTTGCTTTATGGGTTTCTCCCAGATTTCGACTGGAAGAAGATTTATTTCAGGCACCAGCCAAGTGCCCTGTTCTGCTCTGGAAACTGCTACTGCCCGGTGAGAAACCAGTATCTGGAAAAGGAGCAGCGTCGTCAATACCTCTTACGTTTGAAAAACAGTGAGCTGGAGAGGACCTATGGGGAGATGGCCAAGATTGTGAACATCCCCACCAAGCAGCTCCGAGCCGCGAACCCCATAGACTCCCTGCTCTGCCACTTCTGCCACAACATCAGCTTCCCTTGCACCAGAAATGGCTGCATTGATATGGAGCACTTCAAGGTGATCAAGACACATCAGATAGAGGATGAGAAAGAGAGGCGGGAGAAGAAACTCTATCTTGGGTATGCACTGCTGGGTGCCCACCCCATCCTGAATCAAACCATCAGCCGGATGCAGCGTGCTGCGGAAGGCAGGAAAGAAGAGATCTTTACCCTCTACTCTGCCCATGATGTCACTCTGTCACCAGTTCTCAGTGCCTTGGGCCTTACGGAAGCCAGGTTCCCAAGGTTTGCAGCCAGGTTGATCTTTGAGCTGTGGCAAAACAGAGAAAAGCCCAGTGAGCATTCCATCCGGATTCTTTACAATGGCGTTGAGGTCACGTTCCACACCACTTTTTGCCAGGACCACCGCAAGCTTTCTCACAAACCTATGTGCCCCTTTGAAAACTTAGTCCACTTTGTCCAAAGGGACATGTTTGCAGCCCTGGGTGGCAGTAGTACTAGTTATTATGATGCATGTCATAGGGAAGGAGTCTAAAAGGTATACTGTACAGTGCTTATAAAATCTATGCCGGTACAGAAGAAATGGGAAGGGTTCCCTTCTAGTTCTTTCTGTTGCTAAGGGTACATGATATTGACCTTTAAAGGCTAGAAATCCTGTTTGGGAGCCATATAGATGGCTTGGGTTGAAGAGTAAGTACGCTGCTATAATCTGGTACGTGAGTTACATGGTACACGATTGCCAGTTCATAGAGAAAGGAAGGTACTTAGCACAGCCAGGCTTTGCTCAGAAGGCCCGAATAGTGTTTTGATACCCAGAGATGCTGATCCAAATTTGTATTCTTTTGGCCTGCCATGGTATGGTATGATGGCACCAGCAAACCTCAGCCAAAATTTTCTTAATCTGGGACAGTCTTATCTTGTCCTGTTTGTTCAGTGAAAAATTTCCTGAAGTGATTTATCTAAAATAGAGGTGGGCACATTTTTCCTGTCAAGGGCCAGATAGTAAATATTTTAGGCTTTGCAGCCAAGGCTACATGCAGTCTCTGTCACGACTATTTAACTCGCTGTTGCAGTGCAGAAGCAGCCGTAGACAATACGTAAGCACGTGAGCGTGGCTGTGTCCGTGCATGGTACGAAACTGGCGTAGTAGATATGGTCCCTGGGCTGTAGCTTGCCGAGCCCTGATCTAAGAGTCTCTACTACAGCTGCACTTTCAGCACTTTGAGACCTGACTGAATTCCAGGAATTATTCAGCAGTGGTGTCTCCAGTAACTTCTGCTAGAAACACAGAATTTGGTCTGTATCTGACATCGTAACAAAACTTGAGGGGAAAGAAACACTGAATTGGAATGAATCAGAGAAAAGCTATTAGAATAATACTTGATGTTCATGATGATTGTGGTACTAGTTTGATGTTTCAAATATTTGCTGTAGTCTATTTGCTGTATATGCTGAAATTTTTGTACCCCACTTAGTATTTTTATAGCCTAGTATTTTCTAAGACCAGTTTTAGATGTGCTCTTACTCATAGAGTAAGATTCAATTTCCTGTACCTGCCTGGTGTTCAGAAGGGGGCCAGAAGCTGAATTCGGGCACTTTCTCCCAATAAAACTAATTATGGCTCATTCCCTTTGACAAACCATAGAATCGGATCCATTTTTTTTTTTTTTTTCATTTTCATCAGTTTCAAACTGTAAATTCTGATTGATTTTTAAATAAGTTTTTGGAAGTGCTTTGTTACCGGATAGTTAAATAATCTTTGTAAGGTATTTTATATATTAGAAGCAATTACAATTAAATCTGTGATTTCTGAACTAATGGTGCTATTTCTTTGTGAAGAAATGTGAGTGTGTAAGTGAGGTCTTCCAGGGTCATTGGCATTCCAGCCTTTTCTCAGTTTTGTTCAGCGTTGCACTTGAATACGTTTCTATTAATAAATTTTTGAAGAACACTTGTACTCTACAACTAATGGTTTATACCTACAAATCACTCTAGTTCTTCTCAAGTGAGAGCTGATATTTTTGAAATGTATCTTAACTGCTTCTTTTATTGCTGGAAATGGTGTGTTATCTCACCAGTATTTTAAGCCCCATCGATTTTTTTTGCTCCCACTCATAATATATCTGAATTAGAACTACTAAGCCCTGCTTGAAGATTTAAAAATAAGAGTGAGTCTGAAGATTTTTTTTTTAAATCAAATTGCAACATCTATTTTAAAAGTAAACATTGGATAAGAGTCAACACTGAAGTGAAGAGGTAAGTTTTACCTCCCACGACACTGGATATGCACAGCATTAAATTATCTTCCTCAATATCAGGTTTCTGAGACACTTCATTCAATAAATGACAGCTGAGCTGGAATTAATGGACACAGCCCTTGGTTTCTGGGCACTGGTCTAATATGTTAATTCATGACAAGTGTGGGTGTATACATATATATTTAGCTCTCCTATTTTTCTGATCAAAATTAATATATGCTCATTGGAAAATAATCAAGCAGTACTGAAAAACAATGCCAGATGTTGACATTCCTCTAATCCCACATCCAGAAATGACACTGTGTGCAGTTTGAAAACGTTCCTCCAGAAATTTCCCATGCAGATGCTGAAATTTACATCATTTTTTAATAGGCACAGGATCATTTTACATTTGGTTGTTCTGTGACTTGCTTCCCTTAACAATGTATTTTATTAACTTGTTTCCTTTAACAGTGTGTGATAGGAGTATTTCTCATTAACTTGCATCTCTTAACAGTATGTCTTGGAGAGATTTCCATGTTGATATATATATATATATATATATAGCTCTTTTTTATCCACTGGATAATAATTCATGGTATGGCTGAGATATTTTGAGAATCTCGTTAAAAATGCATGAGACTGAAACTTAAAGCCAGGTGCTGGAGCAGGACAGCAAGACGTTTGAGTTACGCAGGCTGAAGCAGACAGGCCAGCAGCCTTGTGTGCTGATTTTTTTAGCCAGTTGAGCAGCTGGCCCTTTTTCAGTGTAGTATAGCTGCAGGTCTTCTTTTAAATTTACTTATGAACAGAACTGAAGAACTTAACCTAACATTGCTAGTAAGCCTACTCGAGGGTCTTTGTTGCTCCAGCGGAGCTCTGGTGGCTTAGTGGTTAAGAGCTCGGCTGCTAGCCAAAAGGTCGGCAGTTTGAATCCACCAGCTACTCCTTGAAAACACTGTGGGGCACTTTTACCCTGTCCTGTAGGGTTGCTATGCGTCAGAATCAATTTGATGGCAATGGGTTTCGTGGGTTTTTTTTGGGTAGCTACAGCAAAATTAGTCTTTCTAAAAGGTTTTGGTGATTCCCTTTTTCTAGAATCTTAAAGACTGATGGAGGAGAGACATGCTTCTGCTTCCCCGAATCTCCAGGAAGTCTTCTGAACCGAGTTAGCAGCCCTGGCTGGGGTGGGTGTACCATTGTGTTTAAACACAACCATGGGTAGAAAGCAGAAAACAGCAGGATTCACGCTGCAATTCTGGCTTTAATAGTGGCTAGGACAGAGTTCTGGCCTGGGCACTGGTTAGCTGCCATTGTCCCAGGCCACCAAACTGAATGTTTGGGCTGTACCCCTGTATGAGTGGCTAGCTCATGAGTAATAATTACTAGCTCTGCTGAAAAGGAGCCAGCCTGTCACCAGAGCCGTTGGTCAGGTCTTTCTGGGCTCTGAGCCTGACTTTCAGCTGAGCCTGGCCTCAGTGAGGGGAATGCATTACTGAGGGCCCAGACTGGCTTCCTTTAGAGCTGCCAAGGGATGGCCTGAGGCCTGGGTCTGGAAAACTCTGTCTAGTAAACACTGCTCTTTAGTACTCCTGCTTCCCTCACAGGGGCTCCACAAATACTGATTAGTCTTCACGATCTTCTGAGGAAGTAACCTCAGCTACAAATTAGGAAACAGGCTCAGGGGGGTGAAGTCACTTTTCCAGAGGAAGACTGAGAGCCCAGGCTCTCACCCTCACCCAAGTTTGTGTGAAGACAGTGAACTTTTGCAGAACATGTACTGTGGGAGAGACCATGGAAAAAGATACACTGTTTCATGTAATCCTTGCAACAGCCCTATGAGATACCGTATTTGCTGGTGAATAATACAACGGTTTATGACATGTCCCGGTTTTATAAAGAAAATTTTTTGCGAAAAAAAAGTTAAGGGCTTTTCATCATATATTGAAAGTGATTCTAAAAAGACTTCATAGGAGAAAACCTTTGGGATTTTCTTCATATAAACACAATATACTATACACTGGAATCCAACAGAAAATTGTAATTTTTGAATATGGACTAAAAATATTCAAGTGTCCCTGAAAAAAAAGTGTATATGTATGTGTATATGTACATATACACATATATATACATATATATAATCACATAGCTAAAAAATATATATTGTCCCAGTGAATACTAAGTCATAGCCGTTACGAATTTAAATGGTTAGGGGGATATTCTAACACTGTCTCTGACCAGCCGTGGCTTGCCATTTTTAAGAAAACAACTTATGTAATGTTATTTTATTGTTTAGCCACTAGGGGGAAGCATCCAATACAATTTTTACCCTTCTGCACCCAGTCTTCCACCTGTAAAGAAAAGTAGGGTAGTTTTAACAGAGTATGTTTTAATAGGGTGACCAGCTGCCCTGGTTTGCCTAGGACTGAGGAGTTTCTCAGGACATGGGGCTTTCACTGCTAAAACTGGGACAGTCTCAGGCAAACAGACAAGTTGGTTACCCTAGTGTTGTATGTTGAGACAGGTACTATCTCGTTCCTACTTTACAGAGAAGGGCATGATGGAGTAACTCGTCTGCAGTTTCACATAGCTGGCTAGTATATAGCAAAGCTGGAACTCAAAGCTGTGGCATTCTAACTCCAAGGATGACGTTCCAAAGCAGGATATGATAAACCTCTCTGAACCACTTCAGACTTCCTTTGGCTAGATGCAGCAGAAACCTGATTACAGTGGTTTAAGCAAATAAAGCCCTTCATTTTCTCCAGGAACCTTCTGGAGATAGGCAGTGGCTCCACGATGTCATCAGGAATCCAGATTCCTATTTACATCTTTCTGGCCAGAATGGAGTCACTTGCCCAAAGAAGTCTAGGGAAGTGAGTATCTTTATTGGGTATACTGCTGTCCTAAGCAAAATCGGGCTCCTGTTAACAAGGAAGAAGGGGAGAGTGGGTATCGGATGAGGAACTAGCGGTGACTGCCACATTCTCCAAAACCACCCCATCAGAGCTGGACAGTGTGGATTTGTCCCACCCAAGTCCCCCCTTTAGGGCCTCTTTGCCCAGCTGCTGGCAGTGCTCAGCCGTCAGCCATTTCAGGGAATTGCCCTGATGAAGAGAAGCATTTCCCCAAGGGCATGCCTCCTTTCTGGGGCAGCCATATCCAGTGACGGGTCAGGGCAGGGGTTTAAAGGCCTGGGGACAACCCTGAAGGGTCATCCAGCTTCAGTGTTCCCCCACGGGGCCAGCTGAGGCCTTGTAACTGCATTGAAGTCCAAATTCTCCCTCTGCCCCATCCTGCTTCCTTTCCTTCCTCCACAGCATTGACCCCCGAGAACACTTCTCAATAAACTTCCCACATACTATCTGCCTCATAGTCCACTTACTGGAAACCAGCATGCAAGCAAATCCTGGGGACTGAGGTCTTTGCTAGCCTGGGCAGGAAAACTGGACGCATTCATTTGAAAGGGCTAATACAACATATCTATTGATCACAAATTTCTCCTCAATCACAACTGGTTTAAGATGCTTTTGAGATGCTTACCACTTTACTGTGGAAGCTAAGTACGGAGCCCTAGTGTCAAAGTGGTTAAGAGCTCAGGCTGCTAACCAACAGACTGGCAGTTCAAATCCATCAGCTGCTCCTTGGAAACCCTATAGGACAAATAGGGTTGCTATGAGTTGGAATCCACTCGACGGCACACAAGAAGAAGTATGCATACATGAAGCAATGGGAGAAATTTGAATCTGGCACTCTAAAGCTATATTACAGAGAGCTGTTATACCAAGACCTATCATTTATTGAGCACATACCAAGGGCTGGATACTGGGCTAAGCACTCAACTGGCATAGTCTCCATATCTCACAATATGAGTAACCATTTGAAGTAGGCATTTATTATCCCCATTTTACAGGTAAGGAAACTGAGGCTCAGAGGTAAATATTTGCCCAGGATCACAGTCAGCAGTAAATGGCAGAGTCAGGACTGGAACATGGATCAGCCTAGACTACAAAGGTCTGGGTCCCTCTGGCATACCACTCCCTCTACCCCCTTACTCCATTACCCACATATAAGTGAATAAATAAAACTTGAAACGTGGGCTATAGCCAAAAGTCTGCCCTATTCAAGGGAATGATCCCCTTCTTGAATCTCTGGTATGGACATCCATGTTTCTAGATCATTTCTCTTTTCCCGTTTTTTTCTAATGCAGCATTTCCAAGAAAGGAGGATCATCTTGGAACAGGTTGTCTCAGCCTAGGTTCCCCTGAAGGTAGAGTCTGAGACAAAGCTTAAGTGTGGGCTGTTTGTGAGGGAACGTGATCCCAGAGAGCTGCACTGAGGGGCAGGGAAATACAAAGGTGGAGAAAAAGCCAACGTGAGGATGCATACTGAATTGACCACCCCCTATGAATGACTGGTTGTTCTGTCCCGTAGGACCTCCTGGGAAGCCTTAAGAAATTCATCTCAGAGCTGTTCAGCTGGGGAGGAAAGAGGAAATATCCATTCAGTAGCTCCCATCCATAGCTGTTTCCTGCCCTTCTGGATGTCCTGGCATCAGAGAAGCCCCATTTCTCTCTGACATATATAGACTGTATATTCATGGTGGTGCAGATCAAATCATGTCACTCCTTGTTAAAAACCCTGCCTTGGCTCACCACTGCCTTCTAGATGAAATCCAAGCTCCCTAAGGTGACCCACGAGGTCCTTCATAATCGGGCTGCCTTTCTAGGTTTATTACTTGGAATAAGTACAAGGATGAAGGGGGTGCACATGGGTTGCAGTCATTGACACACTTCCAGCATGTCACCATGTGGGATGTCAGGTGTGCAGGGTCAGAGAGGACAGTACTGTCCAGAGCCCCCAGCCAGCCTTCCTCAGAACCTAGCAACTTCCTAGTCCTTTTCCCTCCTCTCCACTGTGGCCTGGAGTATGATACCCCAGAAAGGGAAAGATTTGGAACCTACAAACCAAGCTCAAATCCAGTTCTATACCACTTTCCAGCTGTGGGACCTTAAGCAAGGTATCTAAGCTCTCTTAGCCTGAGATTCCTCATCTGTAAATTGGGTGTGATGCCTCACATAAGAGAGTGCACAGAAAGTTCCAGGCACTTGGGGCATCTCTAAATGGCAGTAGTCATTAGTGTTCCCAGATTACTCATTATTACTGCTCTGAGTCACCAAAAAAAAGTTGGAACCAGAATATGTCCCTGCCCATTTCTTGAGCAAGGAAGCACACCTGGAGGTACTGCACGACGCTCTAGGCATGACTGGGGGATACAACTCCCTGGGCTCATGCACTTCCGGTTGGGGAGAAAGGAACTCAAATTTACTGAGTCTTGTCTTTGTGCCCAACACCATGTTTGATACCTCACATCAAGATCTCGATTATTCCTCAAGGGAAATTAAGCACATTGCACATCCCTTTCCCATGTCCTTCTTTGTCTATGTCTAACCTCCATGCTTCTTGCTTTAGTTAGAATTGCTGTTCATTTGAGAAGCTGCTGACCACAGAGTTCAGCAAAGGAATGGGAGTCTGGAGGCTTGAAGCCAATGGTCTGGCTCCT